CCAAAGGCCAAACGGTCGGCCATCGCCTTGGTGGCCGCTCCACGCTTTGGTCAACTCTCCATCCGGCCGAGGGGAGCTCAAATACACCCTAAATGGACTATAACTTCTCTCTCTTCTCAACTAAATATAGAATCGAGACAAAAGGAAAACAAAAACTCTTCTAAAATAAACCGGCCACTCACGCTCAACCCCGACGAATGACAACCTCCTCCCCGATGATCAGACCTCGAAAGGCTAAGGTAAAAATGAAACTCTCCTCTCTTATTCTTTATTTCGAAATGATAAGTAAAGTTACCGTCAATGTTGAAAGAAAGAAGAAAATTGAGACCTTTTTGAGCAAAATGTTCTTTGTATTGGCTTCTATTTGTTTGAATGAGGAAGAAGAAAGTTGTTATAGCTATTCTCTTTTTCTAGAGAGAAAACCCAGAGAAAGAATACCATGCTTTTCATGAAGAAGAGAAAGAAAAGAAAAGACCTCTCTAACATCATGATTTTTTTGGGTTTTTATATCCCCTCACATCTGTCAAAAATCAAAATAACAATTTTACTTGTTGATTTGGTGACTTTGCTTGTTGATTTGGTTATTAATGAGGAGAGGGGAGCCATCTCGTGGCAGTTGGCAGTCAGGGTATGGTGGGGAAGCTATTGGCATGGAGCAGGGATGGCTTGGGTATGGGGTTGTTGTGAAGTTGGTGGTGGCAACACAAAAATGGTGATTACAGATGCCCTACTTTGCTCGTTGTTGTGGAACATGAATGGAAAAAAGATTTAAAGTACCTTTTTAGTCCCGAACTACTTGAATTCATGAGCTACAAGTTCTTCTCATTATGAACCCTTCCATTGGAAATGTTGATCCCTCTTCTTCTGCGATTGATTTAAAATGAAATCTTCTTCTTTAACATGGGTTTGTGAAATGAAATTCTCTGCTAATCTTCAAATTCCTGTCAAATATTCGACATTTGAGTGAAAACAAATGAGTGAAAAGAAATTGGTTTCAAGAGAAGTTATATGAAACAATATAAAAAGTTTATGTTTCAAGAGAAATTGTCTCAAGGGAGATGAATCTTTTTTTCGAGAGAAACAATCTTAAATGTTTATGTTTCAAGAGAAACTGTCTCAAGCGAGATGAAACTTTGTTTCGAGAGAAACAATCTCCTAGATTTATGTTTCAAGAGAAATTGTCTCAAGCGAGACGAAACTTTGTTTCGAGAGAAACAATCTCAAATAAGATCAATTTTGTTTCAAGAGAAACAATTTCAAAATTTATGTTTCGAGGGAAAACTGTCTCAATTGAGATGAAATTTGTTTTTAGGAAAACAATCTCAAATGAGAACAATTTCTTGTTTCAAGTGAAACAACTTCGAAATTTGAGCTTCAAGGGAAACTGTCTCAAGCGAGATGAAACTTTGTTTCGAGAGAAACAATCTCAAGGGAGACAAACATTTTGCTTCTTCACGTTGAGGAGATATAGTTTCCTTTAGAAAATCTGATCATTCACTTTAGGACATCAAATCTGTGAATGACGTTGTTCATTCATATTGAGGACGTCTAGTCATCACCAAACTTTTCTTTCCTGAAAGATGTATAAAAAAATGATGCATTTATGAATGACTATCTTGGATTTTTTATGGATGTCAAGATGAAGTTTATTTCATGTATTTGATTTGATTTTTATTTTAATAAAAATGACTTTTTGAATTTGTCCTCATGAGAGGAGAAAATGATCTTGAGAAAGGAAAATTAGATGATGTCCTCGTGAGAGGAGAAAAATGACCTTTAAGAAAAATGAAATAAGGATTTCATGGAAAAACATTCTTAAGAAAGACTAGATTGATGTTCTTAGATGAACAATCTTGAGAAAAACAAAATTAGTTTCTCAAAAGAGATTATAAAGGCGTCTTTACTATAGGGTAATCAAAGTTTTTATTGCATGCGATGATGAATGTATGATGCAAAGGTGAAAATTCATGTGGCGTGTATATTTATGTTGATGCATGTTTTCTTGATCAATGGACGCACGAGCATATTTCATTCTCTTCCTGATTCGTTTATCTTCATTTTCCACCAGAGTGTACTCTTGCAAACTTCGACGTGCGACAATTTGTTCTGATTGCCCCATCAAATTTTGCCCCAAAAATTTCAGCTTCCCTTGCCCTAACTTCGAGTCTGAGGGATATTTGTTGAATTCGAATATATACTTCCAGAGAGATTATCTTATTTGAAAATAATGCCCCATCTTTAGGATCACAATTGAAGCAAATCACAAAGCATGAGTTCATTGAATATCAAAAGAATAATTGCTCTTTTAATATTTCATAGTTACAATTCTTTGACAAGTGTCATGATTGACAGGTTGGTTTTGAGGTTAGCTACCTAAATTTTGAGGTTTGTTTCTTCAATTCGTCATTCTTTTTTTTCTCGGTCCTTGTGAACCTTATGACATGCCCCTCTTTCGTGGCTTGGCATTTTGATCAGATGCGGAGAAAATGATGCAAGTAACATAGTCAATTGCTAGACTTTTTAGAATATTTCTATTTCGGTTCTCTGAAATCTTCTATTTTTTCAAGCTTCATAGACTGTTTGACCCTATTAAATGGTCTAGTCTCGATATTTATAAATATTTGAACTTCTTTTTTCTGTCTTAAAGGCTTGATAATTTTTATAAAAATTTATGTTTGTTATATAATCTGAATGGAATAAATACAACATTTGATTGTAAAGGAAAATGGCAATGCTTCTTTTTTCTTTCTAGGAATGGGAAAATCGTCCTTCTACTTTATATTAGAGGGCATTTCTCATCAATTTGAAATGCTGAAACGTTTTCAGTTTACCTTATAATATAATCATGTGTAAACAAATTTTTATATCAGAGGGCATGTAAACACGTGTTAAAGAATTATAACACTAATTTACAATTTAATGTTCATAAATATGGGTTGAAAAGACGATTTAAATTTGCAATTTATTGCTTTACAATATGGGTTATAAGCAGGGGTTTATGCATGCATTTAGCAAAACATTAGTATAACAACAGCAACATATAACCTCTAATCGATGAAAATAAGTAAATCTGAGCTGAAAGTTTGTAATTAACGTAGATCTATAAACTTGATTGCTTTGGAAAACATGAACCTGATTGGTCCTCAAACATGGCATAAAATTCATCTTTTATGATTTAAATTAATTGAATCATTTTATCAAAGCAAATTAACACAGGTTTCACTTTACCTTTAAAAAGTGCTATAAATGTTGCTTATTATTATTATTTTGATTGTCATCTAGTTTTAAGATTTCGTCTTGACTAATTTGGATCGACCTGGGTCGTACACCTAGTTTTGATGGGTACGAAAAACAATTTTTTTTTAATCCGATTGAAATTCAAATTTTGAGGTTTGACATTAAGGGATTTAAAGTTTTGAGTTAGGGATTTAGATATTAAAATTTAGGGATTTTGATAGCAACAATTGGGGCAGAAGGGGTTTCAATGGATAAGGTTTTGGCGTCGTCCTAGTCGATGGAGGTTCGACAATAACAAAAATGATTGATGTGCATATAGGGATTAAAATTAAGATTTTTAAAATTTTTGGAGTATTTTATTTTTTTTAAAAATTTGTGTTTTTTTAAAATATATTAATTTTTTTATTTTAAATAATCTTTTTAAAATTTTCGAAATGTGACAGGTGTCACTTAATAGAATTTTTTAGTTATCATTACATTCGGGTCACTTAAAATAGTAACATATGTAATGTTATACACTTAGATTAACCAAAAAGTTACTCTTGGTGACAATTTGTAAATTCTTATGTAATTTCTAATTCGGTTTTAGGTATGTCATGATTCTGGACTGAAGGAGTCACCCTTGACCTAAACTTTAAGGGAAAAAAAGACACTATATATATAGCACTTTTTATTGCCATCTAGTTTTAAGACTTTGTCTTGACTAATTTGGATCGACCTGGGTCGTACACCTAGTTTTGATGGGTACGGAAAACAGATTTTTTAATTAGATTGAGATTTCAAATTTTGAGTTTTCACATTAAAGGATTTAAGGTTTTGAGTTAGGGATTTGGATATTAAAATTTAGGGATTTTGGTAGCAACAACTGGGCAGAAAGTAAGGGGTTTCAATAGATGAGGTTTTGGCATCGTCCTAATAGGTGGAGGTTCGACAGTAACAGAAATGATTGGCGTGCATATAAAGATTAAAATTAAGATTTTCAAATTTTTTGGAGTAATTTTATTTTTTTTTAAATTGAGTTTTTTAAAAATATATTTAATTTTTTATTTTAAATAAAATTTTTAAAAATTTCAAAATGTGACAGATGTCACTTAATAGAATTTTTTAATTATCGTTACATTCATGTCACTTAAGATAGTAACATATGTAATGTTATGTACTTAGATTAATCAAAAAGTTACTCTTGGTTATAATATGTAAATTCTTATATAATTTCTAATTCGATCTTAGATATGCCCTGATCCTGGATTGAAGGATTCACCATTGACCTAAACTTTTAGAAGGAAAAAAGACACTATATATATATATATATAACATTTTTTAAAACTATGTATAACGTTAGTTTATATTTCGTTTTAGTATTTATTATTAAAAATTTAAAGATAATGTTGAGGTATAACCATATGATAATGTCACATTATCATTAAAAAAATAAAAGTATTACATTAATAATTCTATTATTTTTTTTATCGATAAATATCAAATTAAAGTTTAAACTATAGGTAAAAATTAAGATTTAAAAATAAAATAAAAGTAATAATTTAGGTAATACATTATAGTTTACCCACTACACTTTGGTCATTCTCACTCTCATCGTCTTAAAGTTTCTGTCATTGTCAGCATGATTAAGTCGATCCCAGTAAGTTTGGTTTGTTAGGTGGGTCATTGATTCTCTGTTTTTGTTTTCTCCATCACCCATACTCGAAACACCTATTGACGCCCAAATTCTTTTGATTAAAACACAAAGTCACTTTGAATCTTCTTCTTCTGTGAGCTGAGGAATCAAACAGACAAATTTTGAGTGCAGAAACCCATGAATCTCCTATCTCTTAAATCCATTCACTCTCCCAAATCCTCTTGTTTGAGAACCATCACAGCTTGCTCCCCCAGACAGGACCTTAAAGGCCGGACTGTTGCAGTAAGCACTTCTTATTCTGCTAATATTATCTTCTTCTTTCTATGACATTCTTCTTCTTTTTAATCTCCAAATACTATCTTCTTTCACTAAGCATATAATCATAAGAGGAGTTTTCTCACATGCACTAGCATTTACCATTTGCTTTCGCTAAAAACCTTTGGGTTTTTAGTTGAAGGAGCTTCTATTTGGAAAAAGGAAGTGAATGATATTTAGTTTTGGATTAATGCGCCGTCTTTTTTTTAGTAAAAGTAGTCGCCTAAGATGTATATGATTTGAACGACTACGAACCACGTTGCTTACATGTTTGTTCGTTTAAATGAACAAAATTTATTGTTTGTGTTCGTTCCTAAGGATACTGTAGTTCATTCCTTAAAATGATTAAAGAGCACAAGCGGATATTTTTTTCAATCTATCGTGAAATGAAAGGTATAGAGAGATGTAGGGCGGGAAATACATATGTGAATAAATAAAGACGAACGGATTACCGGATGTTTATGATCATAAATGAACGAACTAGCCTTTTGTTCGTGCTTGTTCATTTAATTAAGCAACAAAAAATCTTGTTTATGTTCTTTCGTAAATGAACATAAATGAGCTTCTCGCCGAATGGTTCACGAATGGTTCGTTGAACTTTCGTTCATTTACAGTCCTATTTACAAATGAACCAATAGTTTGATACTAAAGGGAGTCACTGTCCATCACAATTGATTGTATTAACTTTTTCCAGTTTTGTTGATTTTCTCACGAATGATTTCTACATGGATTTTTTTAAGGTACAACTTGTTTGAATTTTAATTGATAATAATGTGCTTAATGTAGGGTATTACTTTGCATATTATAGGACTTTTATACTTGTATATACCCATAATGTTGATCAATAAAAATTTGAGAAAATATTTTATTCCAAAATTCTAAAGTTGGTTAAGTCCTTTCAGTCATTTTATTGTGTCTTTGTCAAATTGGCTGGCAATGTTTTCTTGAACGAATTTATTAAATCCAACAGTGATTCACATCACAGTTGAATTGCAGGTAGTTGGCTTGGGAATATCTGGAAAGGCTGCTGCAAGGCTTGCTCTAGCTCGAGGGGCTTCAGTCGTAGGTATCGACCAGAATGAGAATTTGTTGAAGGTATATTACTGTTTACCCCTTCATGTTCTGTAATTTATTGTGGTCATACATGCATGCTCACACTTGTTCCTTGTTTGCCCATTTTAATGCATAACTTGCTCTTGATTACAGCAAGATTCTTCTTTTGTGACACTGAAAGATAATGGGTTAGACACAATCCTTGGACACTTTGATTGGAAGCTTCTTAATGATGCAGATGTGGTGGTTGTTTCTCCTGGAGTTTCCCTGGAAAATTATGGCCTTATGTATTTGTTGCAGTCAGTAAGTTTATGTCTTAATCTAAGCATCCATTTTCATAAGAAGACTTGGCGGGCATATTTCTAGTTTGTAAACAACAGCAGGAGTGATTGTAGCCCTCTTCATTATAGCCAACAAGATTCATTTTCCAAATAGTTGGAAACTAACACAAAAGGGTTGAAATCTAGTCCATTATTTTCCCATACATTAATCATTAACATACATGTGGAGGACCCTCATTGATTGCGTAAACCATACTTATGAATAGTAATAAATGGTGATTAAGTTTGTATTGGGTAGTCATGGATGACAAAAATAATGAATGAGAGCTTGATCGCTCACAAAACCAGTTTATAAAATTTAATGAATTATCAGACTGGGTTAAATAATAACTTTTTGGGGGAATTCTGCTTTTGTTATGTTGTGGTATGTTCATTTACAATTCATTCACATGAAGTACCTAACATTAGGCCTACTACATTTTGCACCTTCTTTCCTACAAAAAATGAAGGATCAAATTGTGAGTTCGCATTCTTGCATGGCTGCATAAGCTTCTTTGCAAATCAAACAAAATGGACTGCTATTATGCTTCCATAAACTTTTTTGCCTTCCTGTTATTCTTATGCAAACATTTTTTTATTATATTTTCTGTCTAATTGCAGGGAAAACAGGTCATGTCTGAGTTGGATTTTGCAGCTGAAGTTCTCCCAAAAAGTGTCAAAATTTTGGCAGTGACAGGAACCAATGGAAAATCCACTGTTGTTACTTTTGCTGGACAGGTTTCTCTTCTATTTGAATATATGAACACATTGCACTTGTTTATTATTCTTGATACAAAATGTCTCGTCATGTTGCAGAATGTCTTAAGATTAGTGGCTATAGAAGATCCTTGTTGCACTCCTAAAAAGAGGCTCAGTATTAGCGGAATACTGCCTTAACATTTATTTTCTTCAATAGGCACCTACTTAGCTCTTTTTATAAATGGAGGCTTTATTATCCATTTGTCACTTGATATGGAAAAAGGTTTTCTCACTCTCATCTCCCTTTCTTTTTTGTATAAGAAATAATCCATGGAGCAAAAGGCAATTTAACCTGTGACCTAGTCCACCATCCTGTTCACATGGGGGAAGAAAAGATGTAATTTGAACCAATAGCCGTGTTGTTATCAACATGATAAAAGCTATAGTCAATGGGACAGTTCTATATTCCTATTTTTCCTTGCCATTACATTGTGTGATATGAGTTCAGCTACACACTTCCTGTGATTTATTTTTATCTTGATCATTTGGTGACAGATGCTTAGTCATTTTGGTATTAATACATTTGTGGGGGGAAACCTTGGAACTCCACTCTCTGAGATGGCCTTTGAGCATTTGAGATCGCCTTCACAAGAAAGTGAGCTTAAGGTAAGTCCAATCTATCTTTTCTCTCTTACCTTTTTATTTTGTTTGTAATATATAATAGTTTGATTTACTTATTTTCTATCTTCTATTTTATAATTTATGTATCATAAAGAATCTGTTCATTTCCTTGATGTCAATGTTAACTTTATGTTTCATTTCCCCCCGCATATATATATGTATATATAAGCGCTTATAGACTGAACATGCCAACATTTTCCAGGTTGCAGTAGTGGAAGTCAGCAGCTGTCAAATGGAAATTCCCTGTGTGTACTTCTGTCCTTCTGTGAGTAGACTTAAGAGATTGCTTGACAACAGTTGAGGTTCTTTCATTTGTTTTTGGCTTTTAATCTGGTAATATAAAAATCCTTTGTAGGTTTCTGTGGTACTAAATCTTACCCCTGATCACTTAGAAAGGCACAAGACAATGCTAAGTTATGCCGAATCCAAATGTCGTCTATTTTCTCACATGGCCAACACCAAGCTGGGACTTCTTTCATTTGGTATGTTCCTTTTTGACACCAGATAAAGTAACACTTCATTCTTAATTCCATTCTGACCCATTCCACAAGCGTGAGTTGGACTTGTAAGCATATGATGTGTCTAAGGGTTACTTTATCATGAAGATTGCAGTTCTTTTTTGTTTAACAGCCAATCAAATAATTATCTGTAGGGAATCAGTACCTGGATGACGCAGTTAGGAAATACTGGAACAAATTCAATCTTGCTTGGATCGGAGCTTTTCCGGGTGTGAAAGTAAGAATTACTACTTGACCTGTAGTTATTGAACAAAGTTTGGGCATTTTATTCCTACTTTTACCTCTTTTAATGCCATCTTCCTAGCTCTAATTCAAGTCCCTAAATGATGTTTTGGTGGCCAAATACATGGTTGAATATAATGTATTCTGATTATAGGAAAAAACATCAGGGGTAAAATGAAAATGCCAAGAAAAGCCATGAATCACACCCTTTTACTTGGAACCATTTCTGGTTTGATAATTGGTATGGAAAGTACCATTTTTGTTATTCTTTGTGACGAAAAATAGAAGGCTGAGATGGATGTTTGAGAAGAGAAAACTTGAATTTATTCACATCATAGGTTAGCCTATTTATAGTTTTATACCAAAAACATGTATTGAAGTAAGGAAAGAAATTAACAAAAATAAAATAAAATGCTGAAGAACTTGTGATTTAGCCTAATTTATAGCTAATTTACAGCTTCATAAAACTCTCCCTCAAGCTAGAGCATGAATATTAATCATGTCCAGCTTGTTACAAATATAATCAACCCGAGAAATCTTCAAAGCTTCTTGAATTGAATTTGAAATTATAATACTATCAAGAGATGAAGTAAATACTTCATATGATGACTGTAATTTTTCATATGTCGCATATCTTTCAATAGGATAATTTGAGCATGCACGAACACCTTTTCTATGAGTAATAGGTAAAATCTGAATTATCAATTAATAGAACAAGATGCTCACGAGCTGGAGATTCCTTACCTGTGTTAATTTTTGAAGCATGAGGTTTCGGTTCAAGTTCTTGACAATCTCTGATTTTTTGTGATGTTCTCTAGATGTTCAGCAGATTGCCTTCTCCTTGAGTAGACACGAAGTTCTTGATGATTTGTGTCAAGTTGAGATTTAGGTTGAGTGGACTTATTTATAGGAGATTTGAATGTGTTATTTTAAGGAGTTAGAGAAGGTAAACTTTACTCGGATTGAATGTTTTGAAGGCTGACCCAAAACTTAATTCTTTTTTTCCCCTTTGAATTAGGATTTGAAAAAAAAAAGGTTGGTTTTCAAAGGAGGTGACATCCATGGATTTATATATTTTCCTAGAAATAGGCGAGTAACATTTGTACCTTTTTGGTAAGAAGAATACCTTAACAAAACACTGTATTGAATTGGGATCAAGTTTAGTTCGATATTGTTTGTGAATGCGAACAAAGGTTGAACAACCAAAAACTTTAAGTGGAAGATCAGAAGAAAACTAAAAAACTATGATTGGTGTGCGAGCTTCACCCATTTGCACTCTAGTCACCGGAATCTACAGAATGACTAAACTGATATTGACGATCCTCCCTATAAACGTTGGTGCGAACAAAATTTCACTCATCGAAGTGGCTCACACAAAAACCAACTGAAATCTTTGTTTAGCAATTTCATTGATGAAACCCAAACTCTAAAACCATGTCAAATGGCTTTGACAACATGCAACGGAAATTAGAAGACTATAAAGAATGTTTGAGAAGAGAAACGTGCTTATTCACATCATAGGTTAGCCTATTAATACTAATTACAAGTATTGAAAGAAGGAAACAAATTAAAGAAAATAAAATTCCTAAGAATCTGTACATATTATTTCCTAATTTACAGCTTCATAACAATCATTGTCATTGTGATGTTGATGATGATTGCTTGTTTGGAAAAGATTGATACAGATGCAAAAATTGCCACCTTCAAAGTTCCGGACATAGGAGTTGCATCACAACTGCAACTTGGTGGCATGAGAGCTATAGGGAATCACAACTATTATAATGCTGCAGTGGCTGCTTTGTCTGTGGCTGGACTGGATGTTGGCGTGCATGTTGAAGCCATCAATTCAACAATTGAGAAATTAAGGCCTCCACCTCATCGAATGCAAGTCGGTAAGGAATTACCTGGTACTTTTTTTCCCTTTTTCTACTTTTCTTTAGTGGTACCAGGTCTTTTAAAATTATCTTGGTTCGACTACTCTTCTAGCCCTTTTATACTTGTAATATTTATAATCAATCTACTGGCACGATAAAAGAATATGATGGTTGTAATTTTTCTGCTAGGCAAGATTTAATAATCTTAACAGTCTTGTATTTGGACTGCTACTTTGTGATTCTTGGCTTTCATCATCTAGTCCACAAGGATATTCACGGAGTTACATGGGTGGATGATAGCAAGGCAACAAACATTGCGCTACACATACAGGGCTTACGGGTCTGAAGGGGAAAAAGTCGGTGATTCTACTCGGCGGCCTTGCTAAGGTCGGGTATATATCTTTTCCTTTTAATGAAAATTCTTCATAAGTTCTTTGGTGCCATTGATTTGGAATTTGCTTCCCCTTCTTTGCATCATAGTGTCTAATTAGATTTCTGAATGTGGCTGAACTTGGACTTTGCTTACCATCTGAAACGTGCTATTGGCTTAGTAGGCTTTTGCTCGTACTATAACCATGTTATACTCAGGCAATTTTTTATTTTTTATTTTTTTATTTGCAGGTCTTAAATGGACAAGCATCAAATGGTTTTGAACAATTGGTCGAACTATTGAAGGGCCATAGATGTGTGATAACTGTATGTGAGATGTTTCTTCTTGAGATACGCCAATCTCCGATTCAAAATCCCTACTTCCTGTATTTTCTTTTTTTTTTTTCTGTTCTTTTTTCTAATAGCTTGTTTCTAAACTGCTTTTGCATGAATGGCCAAAGTTCGGGTCTTCAGGAGCAATGATTCATCAGACATTGTCTGACAACGGTCTTAGCATTCCTTGTATTCAAGCCACAAATCTGAAGGATGCTGTTCAACATGCTAGGAAGATGGCAAAACATGGTTTGTTCTTTTTAATGATGAATTTCGATTTAATGTGTTTGTTTCCTCATGTAGTCATTTCTGTTCCAATTGTCGTATAATTGTATATCTGTTATACTTCATCTGGATGTCCTCCACAAAAGACTTTCTCCTCGAATATTCCTCCGGAGTTTTACACCTCTAGAGTTATTTAAAGCCTCCGGAGTTCCATAGCTTCCGGTCAGTTACGATCCCTTGACATAATCACTAGGGTTGTAAATGAACTGAACGTTTAGCGAACAGTTCGTGAATTGTTCGACTAGAAGTTCGTGTATTTATTAAATGAATGAACATGAACAAGATTTTCTGTTCGTTTAATTAAATGAATGAACATGAACAAAGGGCTCTTTCGTTCATTTACGTTCGTTAACGTTCGGTAATTCGTTTGTTTAAGTCCATTTGTTTATTTATATTTATCTTCGTTTATTTATATTCTTTAAAAATTTTTGCTTGATTTAAAAGAAAGTTACATTTTGTCTTTGTTTGTGTTTGTTTACGTTCGTTTATTATTTTATCGAACGAACATGAATGAACACAAACAAAAAAATTTGTTCGTTTAGTTGTTCATGTTCATTCATTTGTTCGGTTAAAGTAACGAACGTTCGTGTCTATTCGGTTTGTTTACATGCCTAATATTCATCAGTAGACCCACGTGATCTATCAGAGTCAAATCTACTATTTGACAATAAGAACTATTCAGTATGTCAACCTACCAATAGTCATAATGACCTTAGTCCTGACACTAGCGTTAAGGGCCAGTATATAAACCACAATGCAAACTATAGAGAGGTCTCTCTTTGAATGACTTTCTTGGAACTTACTTCACTATTCATCATCTTCTACAACTCACCAATCATATTCATCATCTTCTACATCTCACCAACCATCGGCTGCGGCTCACTGTCCAAATAAAAATGGGTGAACCGTTTACAGCCGCCACTACCCCACTTTTCCTATTAATCCCATCAACCATTACAAACCATCAGAACAAGTTCAGATGCATGATCCTTGTTAAAACATTGCTCATGTTTTCATTATAAAGAGAGTTAGCAGAAGAGAAAACGGGGGACAGGTTAAAATATTTTGCTTCTAGTTCTAGCACTTGACTTCGTCTCAAGGTGCTTTAGGTGTTTAGATGGGAATATTGGTAACTGGTGACAGCATTCATTTTATTTATTAACATTGTGAACATTGACACAGGTGATGCCATTGTGCTAAGTCCAGCATGCGCTAGCTTTGATGAATTCAGGAACTTTGAGCACCGAGGGATGTTTTTCCAGGAGTTGGCCTTCTCTGCATAATATGTTTTCAGCGACTCGATTATGAACCGACGTCTGCAATGCAAGTGACGGAAACGGGCTACCGATGACGAATTGTGACCGACTGAATTAATAGCAATTTTTGGATATAATTTGCTAATAAGATGCTGAGATTTCATTTGGCCAATTCTGTACCTTCTCCTGTTTTGTGTAATCAAAGAGTTAATTTTGACATAAGAAAGGACATTTCTTTCTAGTTTGCACTTTGGAGTGATATTTTCTTTTCGTGGTTAGGTTGGTAGGATATTATTTATAAATTTGAATATAATCGGACGAGTAGATTATGTTAAAAATCAAGACACTGTTTGGTCTAATTTTGTTGAGTTATATAAAATCAGTGACGAATCCAAAAATTTAAAATAAATGTTTAAAATTTTAATATACTTTTTTTCTCAAAAAATTTAGGTATGCAAATTTTCATTTTTCCCCTTTTTCCCATTACACATTCGACTAACTTTTACAATTTTTTTTTCAAAATAATGAGATGTACTCTCACATAACTAGAAATGATATTCTGCATCGACCCAATAGGGAAGTGGAAAAAAAACCCTATATGTTGTATTCTTACGGTGTGTTTGGTTGGGGGAATGTGAGATTCTCATGGGAATGAAATCCACATTCTCCGTTTGGTTGGCTGGGAAAATCATTCCCGGTAATCTTACATTACTAATAGTGATTTTTTTGGATATATTACCGGGAATGTCATCACCTCCATTTCCTTAGGTATTGTAGGATTACCGGCGTTTTAGACTAAAATGCCTTTAAATTTTGTTTCTTCAAAAATATATTTATTCTGTCAATGAATAATAAAATTTTATGAATTTTAAATTATAAATTTATCCTTAAACTATTTTAGATTTACAAAAAAATCTATAATTAAAATTTTATATGAAATTCAGGAGTTAAAATAAAATTTTATTCTTTCATTATACCTTTTTATATTTTTAATTTTGTAAAAAAATTATATAAATTTTATGAATTTAAAATTTTCAAAGAAAATATATAAATATTTTTAACTTTTAAAAAACAAATATATAATAAGACAATTTGATAACATATATATTCCAATAATCTTTTATTCTTTTAACCAAACACAATAATCTTATATTCCTGCTAAACCAACCAAACACAAAATATAACGTTCCGTAATCCTATTCTCAGCCTAAAGATTATTACCTCAAATAGGATATTTTGAACAATAATATAAAAAAGACGCATGGGTAGTAGACGTTCTCTGTGGCCGTCTGTAAATTGGTTAAAATTCGCAAGTTGATTTTTTTTTTACTTAATCTGCCGTTTTGGGTATTTATTAACTCAAAAGAGAGGAAACAGCTGGAAAGTACAAAATAATAAACGTTGGGTAAGAAAGCTAACACTTAACCCCAAACAAAAAAAAGAAAACGAAGAGGCAGAAAAGCTTGCCAAACCAAACAAAACACAAAAGAAAAACCAATGAAAATGAAACCCCCAAAGAGAGACGGCGATGAGTCTTCTACTCCCATGCTGCATAAACCAAACGGAACCGAGCAAGAAGACAACCAGACGGGGTTCGAAGAAAAACAAATGACGGACCCCAGGAGACAGCCTTAACGATCTCCAGGGAGGATCGAGGTGTCGCCGGTCAATAGCTGCAAGAACATAGGCGGAGGGGGGCGCATATTCTACCCAAAACAGGTCATAAGCTCCTTCAATCCTTTGGAAGCTAGGGCGTGGGCTACCTTATTTGCATGTCTCAGGATGAACTTGAAAAGGCATTCTCCAAATTGAGTTCTTTTGTTTTTTAAATCAGAAATGTGGGATCTGATTTCGGATAAATCTAACTCTGACGATCTAACTTTCTCAATAATGGTTCGAGCGTCTCCTTCAATGAAAATGTGAAACCCATATCCTTTGCAAATTCGAGCCTATGCAGGAAAACGATCGCCTCTGCAGCAAAAGGGGAGACCACCTGGTAAGATATTCTACAACTTGAACCCAAAATCTTCCCATTAGAGTCCCTAATCACACAACCAGAGCTAGCTAAATTTCATGATTGTAGGTAGCCTGCATCCACATTGATTTTTACTGAGGGATCGATGGGGGGACTCCACAACACCTTCGAATTTGGCTTCTGGTGATGGAACGTACTTGTCAAAGATTTGAGTTCCTTTATATAGCCGCGCACAAAGGTAAAAATCTCATTTTGACTCTGATATTTTCCTTCGTAAACATATTTGTTTCTAGAAAACCATAGGGCCCCGATAGAGATAGCTACGTCTTTCATCTTGTTTTTGTCCAAGTTTTTAAATATCCAACTAAACCACTCTTGAAAACTGAGATTAAGCACATTAGCATACCACTCAAACCCCAAACTACTCCAAACACTTCGAGCATAGGGACAATCCCGTTTAACATGAAGTATTGATTCCTCAATCTGGAGGCATCTAGGGCAGAGAGGGTTATGGGCAATTCTTTTAATAAATAGGTTCTGGAAAGTGGGTACGTAATTAAACAAAAACTTCCACATAAGAATACGCACCTACTTGGACAATCGATGACAAGCGTCATAATTGTCAAATAATTATTCTTTTTTCTTGAATATTCATGCTAAGAACATAGTATAAAGAAGGTGTTGGTCCACGTGGATTTAAAAATTTCTAATATCAATCTAAATTGATCTTTAACCAATAAATCTGTAAAATAAGAAAATTAAAAAGATGGAGGTTTTGAATAATAAAGTAAACTAAATAAATAGAATAAAATTAAAACAAAAGGAATAATAAAAAAAATAGAAGTAAATTGTAAAGAAATAATAAAGATGAGAGATAGTCTCTAGCTTCGCTTTGCCTCAATCCGTCTTGGCCACTGAAATAGATTTTACTTCGGATATTTTTCGGTTACAGTCAAAAGACCCAACCCTTGTAACCTGCTCTTCTCTCTGGTGAACTGATTTCCAAAGCCAATTCTTGAAAATTAGCCCTTGTTTGGATTAATATCGGCTATCATGGTTTGGAATTGGAAAAGCCCGTGCTCGGATTATGGTGTCTCGATGAGAATCGTACCCAATCTTGATTTCCCTTACTGATTGCAACTAAGTTTGTTATTAGGGAATTGAACTTGCTACAAGCTGATTATTCTCCCCAAATGTAGATCAAAATTCGATCAAACCAATGTGCACTCTTTGGATCGAAGATGTTAAGATATTTGAAGGAAGGTCGATTGCCTCCACTTGTCTGTCGAAAGTCAAGAAAGAAATCTGAAGATATGAAGCGCTTTTACAATTTCCACGAGAATGGATCGAGTCTTCACTTAGCTATCAGCTAAACAAAAATTTAGCTAAGCATAGTAGAGATCATACGTGTAGAAGGAAAATAATTTTATTAATCTAAAAACCTAAAACAACGAAAAGTCATAACTAGTAAATATACATAGGAGAGAGAATGTCTAGGAGAGAGAATGTCTAGAAGAGAGAATAGAAGTGAGAGTGAAAGAGAAAATTTGAATGCTTCTTTGTCTTTCGGTGAGGAATGGATGGCGTTTGTGGACTGTCTGAGTAAGAGTGTGTCTAGGAGAGCTGTCAAGGAACTTTTCCAACACCATGGTCGTGTATTAAGGGTTTACATTCCGTTCGAATCCATTAAACCAAGGTATAGGAACCATACTTTTACCTTTGTTCAGTTCGAGAAAGAGGAGGGATTAAAAAAAGCGATTGAGAACGTAAACGGATCATGGATTGATGGGAAGAGATTCTTTGTTGGGGTTGCGAAGTATCAGAGTAAGAGGGCTATGTTAGCAGTTGGAAGTACGTCAAAGCTGGTTACTGAGAAGTTGAATAGGGGTGAGGATGGTAAGAAGAGAGAAGAAATAGTTTCATTGAACTGACTAAGGGATAGAAGATCGTATAAAGATGTACTGATTTCGAATGATTGGAGGAATGAAAAAATTCCAATGGATAAAAGAGATGGATGTCTGAGAAGGGGTTTAGGGGTGAGAAATGTATGGGAGATGCACATCCCCTCGGGTGATTCGGACTGGGTAAAACGTTCTCTAACAGGGATTGTTAAACCATTATTTGAGTTGGGGTTGGTTTAAAAGGGATTGGAAAGTGATGGGATAAAGGTGAAGGTTGCCAGATGGGGTTATGCATGGAAATCATGCATGGTCACATTTGGTTCGGTTAAAGAGCTTGAAGAAATTTGGTCGAAGAAGAAGGATGAGTTAATGTTCTGGTTCGATTGGCTGGAACCCCTTCTGAATGATGAAGGTATTCTAATGGCTTTCTGCTCGGTGGAATTATATGGCATTCCATTGCTATGTTGGAATGCTTCCTTTTTAGAGAAGCTGGTTGGAAGATGGGGGAAACTGATGTGTATTCAGGACAGCACGTTGAACAGGCTGGATTTGTAGGTGGCAAGGGTGCTGTTGAGGGTGGGAAGCCCCTTCGACGTACCGGATTGGATAACTTTAGGTGCTTATGGGAGATCATACAAAGTTACTGTTAAAAAAGGGTCATCTTCTAAGATTTCGGTGGAGCCGTCAAAATTAAATTCAGAGAGGGGATCGGAACAAAGGCACGGTGATGGTGCAGCGATAGGGGAGGAGGATGAAGGTAGAGAAGTTGGGGTGGTTGGAAGTAGTGATATATCAGCAAAGGAAACACGTCAAAGGGTTGACAAGTGGCTTGATGGGACTGGGGTAGCTGGAAATCCAGGCGGCTGGAGAAGCTTAATGTCAAAGTAACAGGAAACTCATGGGGAACAGGATGAGAGAAGGGTGTCAAAATGTTTTGACTTAAGTAAGGAATGTAGAGGAGGCTTTGAGGGGACCGGTCTGATGGAGAATAAAGGATTAATTGGTGAGTATACAGGCCTTGGGTTAAGGGATGTGTGGGCCTAGATGGTAACAAGAAAGACCAATTACAAGAAATGAGCGATACAAGCTCGCTTGAGACCAGAATCATTCCTGTAGGGCCAGCAGTTCAATTAAATTTTGAAGAGTCCAGAAATGCGAGTGAAGACTTGGATCATATCATAGCGGCGGCTGTGGGGGATGGTCCTCGCAGAGTAGATGAGATTGAATTTCATCCTAGCAGTGGTGTAACTGATGGCCGAAAAATTGATAGCGGGTGTAATTTGTCGGCAGCTTGTAATGCTTCGAAAAGAAATGAAGAGGTTGGAAGGGGTAAAAGGATAATTTTCGAAAGAGTCTACTGCATGTCAAGGGGAAAAAAGACAAGTGCAGGTCAGAATCGGGAGTTATTTCGGTGAGGGTTCAAGAAGAGAACGAGGAGTTAAATGCAACATGGGAGGTGAGTAATATGCTAGGTATAACTTTTTGTGGTGGGAAGAAGGCATTTGCAAGGAAATTTGAAGAGACAGGCTTAAGTGAGGTGGGAGGAGGTGTGAGTTGAGCCACTAAGCTGGAGGGGGTAGTCGAATCTTTTTTAATGTCAATATTTTCATGCATTTCTTGGAATATAAGGGGTTTGGGAAGGAAAGAAAAGGTGAGGGTAGTAAGGAGCTTGATTTTAAGGAAGAAACCTGTTATAGTGTTCCTGCAGGAGTCGAAATTAGAGGTTGTAAATCAGGCGCTATTAAGGAAGCTTGGCGGAAGGAAATTGAATGGGATGGTGTCATCTCCCTCTATAGGAGCAGCGGGGGGTTTAATTAGCATTTGGGATGAAAATTGGTTTGAAATCGAACAACATTTTATTTTCAGTCGGTTTATAGCTTATCAAGGGCAAAATAAAGGATATTGGTGAGGTTTGCTATTTGGTCAATGTATATGGGCCGGTCGTAGAATCAGAAAAGGAGAGTTTCTTTGAGGAACTACTAATATTCTTAGATCAAATGGATTGTCCTTTATGTGTGGGGGGGATTTCAATTCTTACTTGTTCACGGAGGAGAAACTTGGGAAAAATCATAATATTCATTCTATGAGAGTGTTGGGTAATTTTGTTTTTCAAGCTAAGCTTACAGATTTGCCAGCTGCTGGAGGGAAATTTACATGGTGTAGTAACAGGGAGTCCCCCGCCTTTGTTAGACTTGATCGGTTCCTAGTGGATTACAGGTTTCTGAGTATTTATTCGGGTGTGGTCCAAACTATTCTCCCAAAATCATTATCGGATCATAATGCAATTTCACTTGAAAAGAGTGGTAAATTGTGGTCCGAAACCGTTTAGATTTTTCAATTATCTTGGGGTTTCAGAAAATAATGGGTTCAACCTTCGAAGAGATAAAGAAGGATAAAAAGATGAAAGGGATTACGCAAATGTTGAGTAAGTCGAAGATTGTAATTAAGAATTGGTCGAACAATAGACATAGCTTGTTGTCGGGAAGGATTCTAGAACTTGAGAAGGCTATAGGAGAAATGGAGGTTGTTATACAACAGGAGCAGAATTCTATTTCGTGGGTTGACATCGCAAAGGCAAAGAGGGAGTTATGGGACTTGTACAAAAAAGAGGAATTAATATGGTTCCAAAAGTCTCGACAAAAATGGTTTTCTGATGGTGACCGTAACTCCAAGTTTTTTCATCAGTGTGCAACGAATAGGGGGAGGGTAAACATGTTGAAGATTCTGAAAGTGGATGGTATTTGGATCTCTGAACCGAATAAAATTAAAGAGTGTTTTTAATTTTTTCAAAGATGCTTATAACAGGAATCCAACGGTTGAAGTGGAGAAAGTGGATCTTGGTTTTGCAAGGTTATCGGAAGAGCAAAGATTGTCGTTGGAAAGGTCCTTTTCGGAGGAGGAGATTTGGGAAGCAGTTGCTTCCTCAGACGGCAACAAGGCATCGGGATCAGATGGGTTAAATTTGGGGGATTTTTAAAAGGTTCTGGTCGGCTTTAAAGGATGAAGTAATGAAGTTTTTTTGGGATTTTTATTCAGGGAAGTGATGGGAGAAAGAGGTTAATCACTCCTTTATAACGATAATTCCAAAAAAATTGAACCCAAAATGTTTAGATGACTATCGACCTATTAGTTTAGTAGGTGGTCTTTACAAAATTCTGTCTAAGGTACTGTCGAGAATAGGGGTGTAAACGAGCCAAGTCGAGCTCGAGTATTGCCGAGCTCGACTCAAACTCGAAAACTTTAAATGTAAGCTCGACTCAACTCGAAAACTCGTGAGCCTAAAATCTTTAAGCTTGACTAGAACTCGAAAGATACTATTAAAACTTGACTCGAACTCGAAAAGGCTCGGATTAAAAAAAAATTCAAAAGCTCGATTGAAGCTCAGAACTCAAGCTCGATTGAAGCTTGATTTAGAGACCGATTCAAGCTTGATTCAAGCTCGATTTGGAGCTCGATTTGGAGCTCGATTCAAGCTCGACGGGTTAATGTTGATTTGCTGAAAACCTATCCCATTTTATACACTCACTTTACCCCTTATTCCCCAAGAACCACCGATGTGGGATATCAACTCACAACCAACTTTTTGCTTCAAGTCTCCGATCAGACCTCTCTTCAGTCGCACCTCCCTCCGCTTCATGGTTCTTGTGTCTCTAACTTTTTTCTTATCTTCTTTCATTGCTTATTTAATATTTTATTTAATTTCCATCTCATCTTTGTTTTCATTTGCTTTAGTCAACAGCTGCCGCAGAGAAAGAGAAAGCTCTTGCTAACGTAAGCCTCTTTTTTTAAAAAATTATTGTTATTCAAACAAGGTTTGGATTTTGGAGTTTAGATTTTAAATCTTTTTGCTGTGATTGTGATTGCCTTTGTAGTGGGTACATCAGTTGAATGCTCCACTCGAGGAAATCGATCCTGAAATTGCTAACATAATCGAACTCGAGAAAGCTTGGCAATGGAAGATGTTTACTTTCTAGGCAGCATATAGCTTATCATGTATCTGTTTCATTATTGTAGTCAATGTTCAGTCACTTTTTTATCTCCTGCTAACTTTCAAGTTTATACTGCATTGTTGAAACCTCATGAATGGATTATGGCACTAGATTTACCCCATGGTGGACATCTTTCACACGGTTATTAGGTGCTTATCATTTCCATTAACTAAAAGCTTTTCTGGTGAATTTGATTACATTTTTGTCTTCTCTTGTTAATTCTAATTGTATTTTTTCTGCATTTATTTTCTAAAGAACTAACGTATCAGGAGGCAACATTACTTTAAGGCTATTCAACTAGTGCTATTGTGTTTGAAATTCAAATTTTAAATTCTTTTTTGCATTATAAAGAAGATATCTTCTGTGTCCATATTCTTTGAGACAATGCCATATAGATTGGATGAGAGTACATGTTACATTGACTATGATCAGGTAGCTCCTCTTTCATTATGTTTTATGTATCTACACTTGCGTAACTGTATATTGTACAAAACCAGGGATGCACCTTTTGATCAATGTTTTGTTTACTTTCCACAATCCTTTCAAGATTCACAGCTGGAACTTGTGTGGAATATTTGATATGTGCTGCATCTTTTAAGCATAATTTGACATACAAAAGAGAAATCTATATCTTTATAGTTAGATTTTCAATTGAGCGGTTTGAATTTTCAGATGTATGGAACTTGCTTGCATCTTAAATCAAATTCGATCCAGCTGTCAAATTAGCCTTAAAAATCAATACCGAGACGAAAGGTATACTTTTCTGTTTATTCAATAGCCTGAAGGGCAATATTTTTATATGTTGTAAAAATGGAATATATGCTCGCACATTTCCCTTGAATTACTATTAATCCAGGAACAAAGTTGAAGGATTTTGTAGCAATCTTGGAATCAGATATGAACTTTCAATTTGAAATCTCTAAGCTCTGAAAAAAGTCGAGGAGTACGCGAAGCAATTTCCAACCATCGGTTTTTAGAAGGAAAAAATGAAATACAAGGACTAAGGCAAGGTTTGCCAGTTCTAAAGAAGTATGTGAACTGTTGTTGTTCCTACATATTGTTGGGTTGATGTGTTGTAGAACTAATTATGAATTAGATTTTGTATTATTACGATTGTATATTCTTCTTGTTTTAATGTGATAAACCCTTTAATTATATATTTTGATACTATTATTATTATTACAATGTTATGTACTATTGTTGTTTTAATGTGGTGTACTATTAATTAAACCTACATAATATTTATAAACTTTTATAATAAATTTTTAATCAATTATTAATATTATATCAAATAAACCTACATAATATTAATTATACGTTGAAATTTATTTCTAAAAATACGAATGAATAAGCATCATGAAGATTTTAAACATAAAATAGTGTATTTATAACACAATCAACATAAATTATTAATATTATCTAAACATAAGTATGCGAATGATTTATTTAGAGTCACGTAACATCATTTTGCATAATTTTTATGTTACCTTCATGTGCATAATTTAACCCCTATCGTATAATCGAATTAAGGGCTTAGGGTTTAGTATTTATGGTTTAGGTTTAGTACTTAGGGATTAGAGTTTATGGTTTAGTATTTATGGATTAGGGATTCGAGATTAATGTTCAAGTTTAGGGTTTAGAGATTATGTATTAGGGTTTAGGGGTTAGGTTCATGGTTTTAGAGTTTAGGGTTCATTACAAATACATTAAATAATCGGCTTGGTACTGATTTATGAGGTAAGTACAATATAGTATCTTGATATTAAATGCTCAAACTTTATATTTATGATATTTGAACCCGAAACCTCAAAATATAACAACAATTTAAAAAAATAGTTATTAAAAATATTATTAGGAATATATTAAATATTTTTCATTAGATAAATAATTTTTTATTAATTTAAAATAAATATAATAATATTTACTCAAAAATAATTTTTAACCATTTTCAATTTTTCTATTGTTTGGTTGTTTTTTTTTCTTATTTTTCTACGTTGTTAAGTATTGTGTAGTAAAAAGTTAAAAAATAAAAAAATCAACCAAACATGTGTAATTTAATATGTGCTTAATTAAATGGGGTTTTATTTTTCTTTTAGTAATATACAATGTAACAATTGGACTTGAGCTGGTTAATTAAAAAAAATTAAAATTTGAGGGTAGTTGTATTATAGAATTTTTAATATATTTTTAAAATTTTATAATTATCAATAGTGTATTTTTAATATATTTTTAATAATGTAATTTTAAAAAATCTAAAATTATAATATAACATTTTTTTTCCGAACTGCTCACGAGCTTTTCGAGTCGAGTATCGATTAGCTCGTTTCGGCTCGTTAAGAACTCGAGTCGAGTCCATTCGATCTGAGTATTTATCGAGCCTTGATCGAGTCGATCTCGAGTAGCTCGCGATCTGTCTCGTCTCATTTACAGCCCTAGTCGAGAAGGCTGAGGTCTTGCATAGACTCTTTGATCGGTCCGACTCAATTTGCTTTTGTACCATGAAGGCAGATTTTGGACTGCTCCTTTGTAGCAAATGAAGAGATCGATTACTGGAGAAGAAAATGTTTGAAAGGTGTAGCATTTAAAGTGGACTTTAGGAGAGCTTATGACTCAACAGATTGGTCGATTTTGATGCGGGTTATGAAATTTATGGGATTCGGACAACGGTGGTGTTCTTGGATCCATAATTGTATTTCTTCAGCTTCTATATCTGTTTTGGTTAATGGTTCCCCAACTGAAAAATTTAAGATGTCTAGGGGATTAAGACAAGGGTGTCCATTATCACCTTTGTTGTTTAACCTTGTGGGTGAAATGCTAAGTTTGTTGATGTCTAAGGCAGTGAAGTTGGGTTTGTTCAGTGGGGTCTAGTTAGGAAGCTCGAATTCGGCTTTTACGTTGTCTCATTTGCAATTCGCCGATGATTTGTTAATTTTTTGTGGTGCATCGGAAGGGCAATTGAAGAATGTGAAAAGAGTTTTGGCTATTTTTGAGTTGTGTTTGGGACTTCAACTTAATTTGTCAAAGAGCAGAATTTTTGGGATTCATGTGGAGGATTCTTGTTTAAAAGGGTGGGCATATTCAATTGGTTGTTCGGTTGGAAACTTCCCAACCGAATACCTTGGGCTTCCTCTTGGTGCATGAAAAAATTCTGCTTTGTTGTGGGAACTTATAATTCACAGATGTCAAAAGAAATTGACGGGTTGGAAAGCCAATACTCTTTCTTTGGTAGGGAGGGCTGAGTTGGTAAAGTCGATCATAAGCGCATTGCCTATCTACTACATGTCGCTGTTTAGAATGCCTAAACAGATTCTGAAGAAACTAAACTCAATTATGGAAAAAATTCTATGGGGTACTCTTCTCAAAAGAAAAGGATTCATTGGGTGAATTGACAGACTGTGTGTAAATCCAAATGTCAAGGGGGTCTCGGTATTATTGATCTAAATTCTATGAATAGGGCTCTCTTGGGGAAATAGGCTTGGAAATTTGCAAAAGAAAAAGATTCATGGTAGAAGAAAGTGGTAAGCTGTAAATATAATTTGGATAACTCTCTTATATTGTCGGATAATGGGGTTTCATATAAGTCTTCGTGGATGTGGAGAGGAGTGGTGTCTAATTGTGGGTTGAATGATGATTTCGGATTTTGTTTCAGGAATCACATGTTGTTCAGAGTAGGAAAGGGGAATGTTGTGTTTTTGGTCTGATAAGTGGATTTGTAATGTTACGCTTAAAATGAAATTTCCCATATTGTTTTCTCTATCCCTGAATAAAGATGGGAGAATATCCGAGTTTGGTTTTTATACCAACGGGTTTGGTGTTGTGACTTACAGTTTTGAAGAAGTTTATTGGACTGGAAGGTTGAACAGTGGATGGAGTTAATATCGTTTCTAGGTAATGTTAGTATTCAGATTGATGCAGATGATAAATGTGTTTGGACGGGTAATGTGGATGGCATCTATTCGGTTAATTATTATGTTAAATTGCTGACAAAAGGATATGATGAAGACCCAATTTGGTCAAAACTGGTGTGGACTGGTTTTGTTATTCTTAGAGTGCAGGCGTTTTTGTTGCAGATCCTACATTGAAAAGTCGCGGTCAAAACAGAACTTATTAAGCGTGGAGTTAGTCGGATAGATAACGACCTATGCCCGTTATGTGGTGTGCACCAAGAGACGGTATCACATCTATTCTTTTATTGCTCGATTGTATGGGGTGTAACACCCCCAACCCGTATCCGACCCAGATACGAGTATGAGGTGTCACATTGACTTTTCAAATTTTGACTCTTGACAAAATTCAAAGAAATTTTTAAACATTTCATTAAAGTAAAAGCGGTTTAGTTATATAAACTGACCATAATAACCAAAATCAATCAGAGCATATTTAATTCAACCAATTAGTACATGCCAACTATACTCAAAATAACCAAAAACATTTAAATCCTCTATTTTCTGATCTGAAATTTTGTAAGGGAGGTGCTGACTTGTCTTACTCTTCTTCTCTTCTCTTCTTGCTTTTGTAACCTACGTGTGAAACAAGCACACGCTAAGTCGAAGACTTAGTGAGGCAATAAACATATAAGGTAAACGGGTAACATATATACATACATATATGTCATTATCATTCATATCTCTTATCTCATGTTCCTATGATCTCTTATGTTCATATCATATATCTTATAAACTTATTATTATATCATCATTTCAATCAATTATACTCATTCGCATATACCTTAACATGTACTCATGTATATCATATAACATATACCATATATACTATCATAAAACACGTACACCCATGCAACTATAATATCATCTTCATTTTTATTAATATTATCTATTTACTAGCCCATGATACACATGTGAGAACTAAAGATATGCGAGTACATAGAGGTTGTGCACTAATGCTGTCACCACAACTCATATAATTGCACCGAAGTGCCACATATAATTGCACCGGAGTGCCGTATAGAATTGCACCGTAGTGCCATATAATAATGTCCATAAGGACCACATATCATTCCTTAAGAATCATATACATATACTAGGGATCAAGTATGTGTCTCACCAGACTTCACACATGTTCCAAAGAATACATATATGTCCCGAAGGACCACATATTATTCCTTAAGAATCATATACATATGCCAAGGATCAAATATGTGTCTCACTAGACTTCACACATGTTCCAAAGAATACATATATGTCCCGAAGGACCACATAGACCCTCGACTCTTGGCATGCCAACTATACCCCTAGCTCTCATGACACATAACATGGGCATTAATATTTATGTTAACATACATTAACATATACACATAGTCATGTAATCCTTTCACATATCTCATTGTTATATAAATCACATATTCCATATACATATAAACACATGGTTTACCTACGCGTAGAACATTTTCATATAATCACGTAGTCATATAATATTTCATATAACATATATTTTCTCTTTCATATATCTCATATCATGTATCATATCTTGTGATCATATAATCATGTTACTTATAATCACATAACTTCTACTCATAGGGTTCAATATCATTAAACTTAGTTCCCTTTTTCATATCATCATACATTTATATATTCTTATATGTCATATCAATAACATATAAACTCACTCATATTCTCATATATTCACATAGATAATATCATAGGACTTATATCTTTTCATATGATTTATGTTCTATTCTCTTATATTCACATACATGTAATACATATCAAACATGTTTA